GTTCTTCTCAAAATTTGTGTTCTATTGCTCTTCCATCACTCTTTCTTCTACATCTTCTTCACTTTCTCTTCTCATCGAACCTAAAATCTCTTAGTGATCAAGACTGAATAGCAGTCTTGAAAACCTACAGGCACATCCAGTTTCTGATCAAGGCACACCCCTAATGTGCCATGTTTCAAAGGACACAGTACCCCTATGTATTAAATTTTACTATCATAAATAAGAGTATGTTTTGCCCTTTCATGGTGATGTACGTCATTTGCAAAAAATATAAACGTGATGTGTCCCCCTTTTATTTGACAGATAGCTAGCTATTCAATGAACAGTATTACACATTTTCAAGAAAGAAAACAGAGTAATAAATAACATCATTTATTAATAGTGTGAATGTGGTAATTATGATGAAATATACTCATTAAAGGCAAGCATCACTTCACTGTTCAAAAAAATATAAACATTACTTCCCAATTTAAACATGATTAAACGGAGCATAAACCTCAATTACCGCTGAATACAAAATCCAATACATATTTAGCTACTTAATGTTCACCCAATAAGAAAATAAATTGTACTGCACCAGAAATAAAAACCATTTCCAATGAGAAAAGAGGTTGGGGTCACTTATTAAAAAAAAAGGAGGTTGGGGATAGATACTCACTTTGGTTTAGTCCAAATAGATCATCAATTTAAACTACTGTTAGTTCTACTTTCTTTCATAACAATTCCATGAGGAAATTCCAGTCTCAAAAGCTCCCATCTAGTCATCTCAGAGGCATAGTTAAAGAAAACAGTATTAAAGCCATCTCCCAAAGGTAGAATGCCTTAAACCTACCAACAGAAAGTTTTTGGAATCCTGGCCATAATGATTACATACCCACTTCGCATTCAGTAGTGTGTTATAATGTGTTAACGGATTCAAAGAAATCTCTCACCTTCAAGGACTAAAACCTAGTTCCTTTTTTTTTTTTGATGACTTAAAACCTAGTTCCATAGGTCATGTCCTCAAACCAAGTTCATAAACTGAGGATTCTTTGAGAAACTACAAAATCAGTTATCCCAGTTACTTCCAATTTGAGTTGGGAGAGATTGCCACTGTGTGATCAAATGAACCGCTGCCAAAGCTTCTTTAATGGAGAAGCTTTTTTCGGGTACAGAGAAAATTTACAAGTTCAGATGAAGTAACAGAAGATAATATCTGCATCAGAACTAACGATCTTGAATGGTTCCCACTCAATGGCTCAATATATGGAACCCTGGCTAATGAAAACCATCATTACACAATTTGCAAAATGTTATAAAACCTTAATTGTATATCAACACTTCTATTACCCCCCCCAATCATCTTTTTTATTTCAAAGCACAGTCAGCCACCATGGGAGACAGAACCTCTAGTTCTCCTTGTCTAGCTAAATCAACTAGACTATTGGATGATCTCTTCACCCAGTTTAAAATTGTTTCTGCTTTCCATTTCTCTAGCCAGGTATTGCCCTTCTATCCTCATTAGAGTAAACTTGACAATAGTTTTCTACTGTGTTCTAATATGAAGCAAGTAAAAGCAGCCAAACACACAGGTTATATGTCATCTGGAAATCTGAGCTTGAGGTGAAACTTAAACACTAACTTTTTTATTCATTTTTTGGAGAATTAGAAAAAGGAGTGAGTAACAACTTCTTAAGGTACCTTTCCTGATGCTGATATTCGGTACCCCTCAAGTGTCTCTGGGGCAGAAAACAGACGAAGCGCATCCTCAATAGTACGAACAGCTTCAGGAAAAATATCAAGGTGGAGCAAAAGGAATGGTTGAACTGTGGCAGAGGCCTTGTTACCTATAACACACCCAAGAAAAACTTGCTTCATAATCGCAAATTCGCAACAAGTCAACAAGAAAAGCCTAATTTTTTGAAAAATTAATAATGATGATGAATAATTCAGAATTTTCTCCTTCCACCCCCTCCCCTCCAAGCTGAGTCAGTTCAGTCAGACTAACATCAATTTTATTTGACAATGAACAAACAGGTATACACAAATCACAAGCATTTACCCACCTCTTGCCTTAACTACACTTCTTAATTGTCCTCCAAAAATTGCACTTAGTTCTGATGGAATGAAGCTCTGGGTTCTCGTTACTGCAGACTTGTTCTTTGGTCCAACAGTCTCCCAATCATCATCTTCTGTTGTTGATACAGCTCCACCTGAGCTTGAAATTCCTTCAAGCTTGAGTAATTCATCATGCATCTGATCCATGACAAAACTTAAAAACTCCTGAGCATCTTCTTGTCTGGAAAAGGGGTAAATATCTTCCTAATTAATTATCAGAAAAGTATGATGTCATTGAGCCACCTATTAGGTGGATTGCAGGAAAAGGAGCTATGTAGTAGAAAATTATTATATAACAATAATAAAGAAAGAAAATGAATATGCTAAACAAGCTCCAAGTACCAACCTTGGCCTGCCTGATATACAATATGGCACATCTGGAGTAAAATTTTTAAGAACAGGTTCAAACATGGTAGGGCTGAAAGGCCTCCCAGTCTCAATAACTGTCATCTCTTTCTTCTTCAAGTTTGAATCAGTTGGCATGTCAAAGTCCGAAATGAACTCAACAAAAGCACATAAAGTAGGGCAGCCAATCTGGGGCAGGAATGAGAATTAATAATGCAACTATGGAAGTGCTAAGCTTATTGTTAGGAAAATAAATAATTCTATAGTCTATTTTTATATGTAATCGTTTAGACTATCAAGTGCATAATACCATCTTAATGGAAGTCAGAAAAACTAAAGGTTCCTCAAAAGATCAAAACCTTGGGGATATCGCGAGTTCTTAATTCCTGAAAAAGCTGAACAAATGGAGTACAGGATAGAAGAGCCTGCAGCGTAGCATTGAGAAAGCATAAATTTCCAGAGTTGATTAATCCTCGTGGCAGTAGATCTTTAACAACTGCAGGTGGGTGGTTCAGTGTCTTTTGGATATCCTTTCTAGAAGCTGGAACTGTTGTTGAATCAGCAATTATTTCACCTGGTTTGCAGTTAGATGTGATGGGAAAACTTCTGTTCAAGTTTCCACTTTCAAGCCCATGCTGTCTAGGGATTGTTGGTTGCTTTGTAGAATCAGCATCATGAGAAATACATAATGAATTGAACTCTACACTAACTCTTTCAAATTCTTTTACCCCATTACTATGGGAAGAGCAATCAGATGTATTCTGAATACTTCCATTTTCTTTCACACTTTCTGGTGCTGTTTGCAAATTATCATTTGACGTCTTAACAATCTTAATTGCATTATCCTTCCCAACCACTTTTGATGGCTGGGTCTCTTTTGACCCTTTTGTAAAATTAGTCCTTACGGGTTCACCATTCAAACCACCCAAGGATCTTATGGTCTCAAAATCCAAGGAACCAAATTGGAATTCTTTCTTTTCTGAAGGTTGTACTGCATTCTCTGATGACTGCTTCTGGAATGACCTAACCTCATCTTCAGTGAATGATCCAAATATCAAAACCTGCTTCAGTGACAGGAAACCAACAATATGTAAATCAAACAAAGAATGGTGTAAATCTGCTATAATTTTTTAGGGTGCAGGAAGATGATTTTCCTGCTTCAGTTAGTCATACATGACATGGCGAGCATAACTGACATCAGGTTAAAAAGGATTTCCACAGATTATTAATAAATGCATTGGCAGAATTGCATAGAAAATGCTTAGACCATCACCTGTGCATTTAATAACCTACAGGCAATGCCCTAGGTTAGTGATGCATCTAAAGTGGTCAGTGGTCACCCACCTGGGAACAACTGGGCAATGCCTATAACAAGAAGGCTGTACATAGTTCTTTTTTTATCAGCAAAGGCTGTACATAGTTGAAGCAACCCTACAGCATTTTCGTTTTTTTTGGATCAATTACAGCATTTTCATTTCACCTTTTCTTTTTTGTTGAAGCAACCATACAGCATTTTCGTTTTTTTATCAATTACAGCATACAGCAATTAAGCTTGTTGTAATACTTATAAGCTATAAATTAATTTTTTGTATGCTATAAAGTATATATTACAGAAATTTAATTATATTGAATGCACATCAAAGGAATATGTAAATGAAAGAAGAGAGTTAGAAAATAAAAAGGAAAAAAAAGAAAGAAAAAGGCGATCATCATAGTGTTTGTGACTAGGCTTACACAAAAGAAAAAGTAAAAGACAAGCAGATAAGTTGGACAAAATAAGCATTGACATGAAAAACTAGTCCTAAATACTGAAAGGAACAGTTCAGGAATCAGATAATCTATCACTTCCTCATGGTGAAAGGATAAATGTATGCACAATTTATTGAAGAAAATACAAAGAACTGCATGATAGGAACCAGAACAAGGCCCAGAAGAATTCGGGCCCAACAGCACATGTACCAGGCCTAGCATTCCCATCCGGCCCAGTTAGTTCAACCCAACAGCTAAAATCTGTTGGGACCCAAACACTCCCTCCGAACCCAACTATAGGAGTGGAGCAGGCCACCACCAAGCAGCATTTCACTAGAAGACAAAGAGGCTAGCGTGGCACGCGGCAGAGCCTCCCAGAGTTAGTTACACTGCCACCAGAAGATATTTTCTCCATGATTGCATACATGTAGGCCAGCCATATAAGGCCCTGATCATGTAATAAGTAGCGTGAATGAATATCCCTTTCATCTCTCTCTCTGAGTCATTYTCTTCCTACCTTTCCCCTTTCCCTCCCAACTTCTGTTTCAGGAGGTTAAGCCACCCTCGAAGGGGCTTCCGAGGTGAGCAGTAACTCACCAAATTGGTATCAGAGCTTCACGATGCCACAGACACGTTCCACTACCATGGATGAAAGGGTCGACCAGCTTGAGGTTGGATTTCAGCAATAGTCTGACGAGACCAGTCACCAAGCAGGAGCGGAAACCTCTGCTTCCAGTAGCCAAAGAACAGGGTATTACCCCACCGGAAAAGTCACTAAGATCAACTTTCCCAACTATTCCGGTGGAGATCCCATTCCTTGGATCTTCCAAGCAGAAAGATATTTCGAATACCACGAAACTCCCGCCCACCAGCGTGTCTCCATCGCCTCCATTCATCTAGAAGGAGACGCGATTCTATGGCTCCAGTGGTATCGCCAGAATCATCCCCAGGTAACTTGGGCGGAGTTCACCGAAGCTTTGTGCATCCGCTTTGGGCCGACGGCATTCGTGGACTACGACGAGCTGATCACCCGATTGAAGCAGACTGGAACGGTAGCAGAGTACCTGCTCGAGTTCGAGCGGATGGCGACCAGGGTACACGGCTAGCCGGAGAAAGCCTTAGTAGGATGTTTTGTGGGAGGTCTCAGAGAGGATATCCGTCTGGAGGTGAGGGCTCTGCGT